AAACATAATAAATATAAAAATAGAAATGCAAATAAATAAATTTAAAAAAAATAAAAGTGAAAATAAAAATATCAAATAAAAGTAAAAATACAAATAAATAAAAAAAATATAAATAATTAGAAATAAAATAAAAATAAACTTGTGAATAAAAATATAAATAAATAAAAATAGAATATAGATATAAATATAAATAAATAAAAATATAAATAATCACTGGGTGATGGTGGTCATATCTCATCTCCTTCCCCCAAGAAACACAAGGTTTTCCTCAGCAAATGGTATGTTAAAAGTAGCACTGCCACTTGCGCATTGTATCAGATGTCACAAGTGTTTAGGCGATTTTCCTGGAAATATCACGAGTACACCAACCTCAAAAGAGACAACCTGAACTGCTACATTGTACATTTCTCCGATTTGCCCTGCTAGGTCATGATACCTCTATATTTTTGCCTGCTTCGCCCTCACGATGTTCTAATCCCAAGATACCACAACTTCCCCCAGGATTCATTCATGACTGCTCTTGGGCGCAAGTCTGAGATCAGGGCGATAGCTCTCCAAGCGCTTGTCAGTTGATCGTATTCCACATGAGTTTTACTTGTTATTATTATTAGTAATAGTACCAGTAATATTACAGACGTTCGTTATTGTCCTTGGAGATGTGTATCGGCAGGCAAAACAGTATCGACTTCCGGGTTCGAATTTCGGCTGAGATGCTTGTATTTAATTAACAAAAGTACCCTTTGGGAGTATTGATTAATTCGTTTTCTATGGCTTATCAACCCTTTCCTGGTTATTTAAAACCGGAAAATATTTTTAGATAATAAGTATTTTCTTTCTGGAGATAATAATTGTTTGATGATACAAGTCTTACTATTTAACCCATAGCTAGGTGTAGAAGTGGTGGATTCATACCTTTTCCAAATGTATTTGCTCATAAGTGAATATAACAAACCCAGCGGTAATTGCAACTCAAATTAATAATTCTGAGTCATTATCCATGACACCACCCGCACATCCACGCTTACAGCTCGTTGTATTCCCAAACGGTCACCCATATATGTACTGGTCAAGCTTAACATTGCTTAACTTCATTGATAATATGGAGACCGATGTTTCAACGTGATGTAGGCGTAAACAACCATTTGGGAAAGGCATGAATCCGTTCTCCCTTGTATCTTAAAATGTTTTCGTAGTTTGCTTGATATGTCAGGGAGCATTTACGCAAAACCACATCCCCATCACTACTTTACTCCCCAGGCAGTCGTAACAATTAAAATAATGCTGTTGTACCCATTATCAACCTTGACAGAGGCCAGAAATTATTGTCATTATTTCATTATATTTACGTTCTTTCTTCCTTCTATTTTGCTTCGGTGTTGCTTGGATGAAAAAATAAATATTGCGAAAACGAACTTCCTTCCTCATACTTCCGCTTCCGTCCACTTTTCCCGCTCAATTACCAACGCAAGGTCGCCTGTTGCAGAGCAAAAGGTGCGCCGAAAATTGGCGGAGAGGAATGAGAGATTTTTCTCAGCCTCTCCCAACGACCTGTTTGGGTGGTGTCGGTGGGTGCCAGCGAGAGAGAAAACAGCAAGGGGCTGGTGGATGGGGCTTGCCCTCCCTAAATGGAACGAGCCACTCGATAAATATCGGTGTGTTCCATTTATCAAAGGTTGGCATTTCGATCAGTGCCAAGCCAAAAAGTTCGAAAGCACGCATGCGCTGACTATCAAACTTTTCTTCCGCTTCCGTCTCGATTTTTCTTTTTAGCAACTTGCCTCATACACAACGTTTTGTGCAACGTCCGGCCAGATACCTTTTTTTCTTTCTTTTTCCTTTCAGATTTTCCCCCCCCTATTCATTCATACCTCTCTCTCTTTCTCTCTTTTAAGTTTTTGTTATTGTTGCATATATTATGTGCATTATTTTGAAATGTCTTTTTTCTTTCTTTCTTTTTGGTCTACCTTTGCTTTTTTTTTCTCTCCTTCACTTTCTTTCTTGCGTTCATTTGTTCTTTATCTCTTTTTCTTCTTAAAAAATGAATCAATTCGTTTTCATCTTTAATTTTATGAGTCTTTTTTTTTGCTTTTTGCTTTTTTTTTCTGCTACTTTTTTTTTTTTTTTCAATTAATTATTTTTTTCATTTTTTTTTTTTTTTTTAACCTTTTTTTTTTTTTTTTTCTCTTCTTTCATCTTTGCCAATTTTTTTCTTTCTTTTTATTTCTTTTCATTTTTTTTTTTTTTGGACACTTCAATTTTTTTTTCTCTTCAATTTCATCTTTTTGAATTTTTCTTTTTTCAATTTTCTTTTTTTCTCTACATTTTTTCTTTTTAAATTCTTCATTTTTTTTTCTTTCTTCAATTTCTTCAATTTTTTTCTTTTCAATTTTTTTCTTCAATTTCTCTTTTTTTTTTTCTTCAATTTTTTTTCTTCTTCTTCAATTTTTTTTTCTTCAATTTCTTTTGAATTTTTCTTTTTCTTTTTTTTTTTTTCTTCTTCAATTTTTTTCATTCTTTCTTCAATTTTTCTTTCTTTTGAATTTTTTCTTTTTTTTTTCTTCAATTTTTTTTTCTTCAATTTTTTTTTCAATTTCTTTTTGAATTTTTCTTTCTTCTTCAATTTTTCTTTCTTTCTTCAATTTCTCTTTCTTTTTGAATTTTTCTTTCTTCAATTTTTTTCTTTCTTCTTCAATTTTTTTTTCTTCAATTTCTCTTTCTTTTTGAATTTTTCTTTCTTCTTCAATTTTTCTTTCTTTCTTCAATTTCTCTTTCTTTTTGAATTTTTCTTTCTTCTTCAATTTTTCTTTCTTTCTTCAATTTCTCTTTCTTTTTTCTTTCTTCTTTTTTTTTTTTTTTCAATTTTTTTTTTCTTTTCTCTTCTTCAATTTTTTGATATTTTTTCTTCATTTTTTTCTTTCCTTCTTCACTTATTCTTCTCCGCTCCTCGACTTTTCTTGCTGTTTTTCTTTCTTTTCAACTTGTCTTTTTTCTTTTTCTTCATTCATCTCTTCAATTTAATTCTTCTTCATTTCTCTTTAAATTTTTCCTTTCTTTGAATTTTTTTTTTCAATGTCCGTTTCTTTTCTTTTTTTAAATTTCAATTTTTTCTTTTTCAATTTTTTCGTCTTTTTTTTTTTTTTTCTTTCTTCTTCAATTTTTCTTTTTTCTTCTTTCTTTTTTTTTTTTTTTCTCTTCCTACGCTTTCTTTTTGAATGTTTTCTTCTTTTTTCGCTGTTTTCACTTTCTCCAAATTTTTCTTTTTTCATTTCCTTCTTTCTTTTTTCTTTCTTTCTCTGATTGTCAAACTTTTCTTTTTAATTTCCTTTCTCTTTTCTTCTTTATTCTAGCCTTTCTAGCTTTACACTTTTTATTCTTTTTTTCTATATTTTTTTTCCTCTCTGCTGCTTCTTTTTTCCAGTCTTTTAAATTTTTTTCCAAATATTCTTTCTTAAAGAATTGCTTTCATTCGTTATTTTTCATTCCTGCATGTATCGTGTTTTTCTTCATTTTTTCTTTTTTCATTCTTTTCATATTTGTCAATTTTATGTCTTTCTTTCTTTATTCTTTAATTTTTTATTGGCTTTCCTTCATTTTTCTTTTTCATTCTTTTCATTTTCTTTCTTTTATTTTATTCTGATATTTCTTCTTTATGCTTTTTTCTTTTTCTTTTGTCACCTTCTTTTTTTCTTTTAGTTGTTCTTACGTTTTTCTTCTAATTATTTTTCTTTTTCATTCTATCATATTTCTTTCTTTCTTTCCCTTGTTCTTTCTTCGGTCGAGTTTTTGTTTTCGTTCTTTCTTTTCATTTTTATTTTTGCCCCTCCTCTTAGTTTAGTGTTTTATCATTGTCTTTTCTTCTCTTTTTCATTTTTCTTTTTTTTTTTCTTTTCTTCTCTTTGTCAAACTTTTTCTTTTTAAACACTTCTTTTTTCTTTTGTTCTTCTCCTTATTTTATTCTTATTCGCCATTTCCAGTCTTTTTCTTTTTTTATTTTTCTTAAAGAATTGCTTTCATTCTGTTATTTTCTTTCTTTTTTTTTTCATTTTTCCCTTTTCATCTTTTTTTATTTGTCAATTTTATGTCTTTTTCATCATTCTTTCTATCTTTTTTTATTGGCTTTCAATTCATTTTTTTTTTTCATTCTTTTCATTTTTTTTTTTTATTTTTTCTGATATTTTTTTTTTTATTTTGTTCGTTTTTTTTTTTAGTTTCTTTCTTTTATTTTCTTTTTCATTCTATCATATTTTTCTTTCTCCTTCGTTTTTTGTTTTCATTCTTTTTTCTTTCTTTTTATTTTTTCCTTCCTTTTCATTCATTTTCGTTTCTTTTCTTTTTTTTTGTTCTTTTTTATTTTATTCTTCATTACCTTCCTTTCTTTTTTTTCGGTGTGCCCTTCTCTTTTTTTCCTTCCTTTTTTTTTCTTTCTTTCTTTCTTTTTCTTCAATATTTCTTTTTTCTTTTTTCTTTTCTTTCTTTCTTTTTATTTTTCTTTCTTTTTTTCTATTTTCATTCTTAAATTATTCCTTCTTTTTACTTTTTTCCTTTCCTTTCATTCATTCGTTATTCATTTTCTTTTATCTCTTTCTTCCTTTTTCTTTTTCTTTCTTTTCTTTATCTTCGTTTATTTTATTTTTTTTCTTTTTTTCTTTTTCATTCTTAAATTCCTCCTTTATTTCCTTTTCGTAAATTATTCATTTCTTTCTTTCTTAAATTTTTTTCGTTTCTTTTCTTTTTCTTTTTCTTTTTTTTCCTTTTTTTCTTTCTTATTATTATTCTTTCTTTTTCTTTCTTCTTTTTCTTTATTATTTTATTTCTTTCTTTTTTTTTTTCTTTCTTTTTTCGGCCTTTTTTTCTTATTCGTCTTTTCCTTCGCTTCTTACAACCCCTTCGCTTTTTCCAACCCCTTTTTCAGTTCTCGTCTGCAGTCGGCATCTTCCATTTCCAAACCATCTATTTATCTTATTCATTTACTCCTCCTCCATTACATTGCTAAACACTGACCAAGAGACGCCAACCGCAAAGAAAGACCGGATTCTGTCCTCTCCCACAACTCACGCCTTTCGCTTAACCCACTGACCACAACGTCAATAAAGCTGTATCTTCTGTTAGTCCATTGCAATTATTGTCAACTCTGGGTCAGCGTTATAAGTTGGATTGACCAGAAGAAGCGCCCAATTGTGAATATAAATGACACTCCCGGAGATGCCACACCATCGATAAACAAGACCAGTAATTGAAGCTCTGTACCGCTGTGATAACGTTGATTCTCACTAAACGCTCCACACCGAACTAGTTTAAATACCCAGTACTGACTATAAACTAGTTGAACCAATTCTTCTCAGTTGGGCCTCGAGAAAAAGGAGACACGCGCTAGCATCACCAACCCTAACCTTGTCAAACGCAAATGCACCTTGCAACATAGACCGAAAACGAAATGGGAATATTTACAGAAAACATTTTAAGATTTTAAGAATATTTTAAAGTTAGTAATGTTCATATATATATATATATATATATATATATATATATATATATATATATATATTAAAGAAGAGAGAAACCACAAATGTTTTTGGTTATAATGTGGATATTTCAAAATATATATTATACTTTATTTGCTATATTTTTGTTAAACGTGTTTCAGGATCTTTTCAAGATCGGAAAATATGAGGAAAAGGAATTCCTTACAATATGTGGAAATATCCACTCTTTGCCTGATGAAGGTCGCGAGACCAGAAACGCGTGTAGCAAAATTATGGAAAATAAAGCATAATATATATTTTTTAAAATCCACATTATAACCAAAAACGTTTGCAGTTTCTCTCTTCTCTTTAAAATATACACTTATCTTCCTATCTTCCCTGATAATATATATATATATATATATATATATATATATATATATATATATATAAACAATAGGAATTAGGATTACTCCATAATATTGATGATCATCATTTCACCTTGTAAATTTAAATGAAAATTAAAATACAAGGATTTTCCTTTTCATCAGGTTAACAATAAAATCAAAATACAATAAAGTTTTATTTTAATTGTCTTGTTAACACGATGGATTTGAAAAATCCTTTTAATTTAATTTTAAGTTTAATTCTAATTATTTTATATATATATATATATATATATATATATATATATATATATATATATATATATATTCGGAAAGTGGATGCTGATCAACACGAAGTGGCGTGAAAGCAATCATTAGGCCATGTATGTTTTGTTTTGACTCGACTATTTATATGTTGTTTAATGTTGCATTATTGGTAGAAGGTCTATTTTATTATCCTAACGTTTACTGGGTAGGCGGTAAGGGTTATATTTCAAATTATCTATTAAAAAGGAATAATTGTGGATCCAACTGCAGTTATTTGTAGCTATTTTATGTGGTTGTTAATTTTTTTTTTATTATTGATTGCTGATTATTATTATTGTTATTATTATTGTTATTATTATTACATATGATTGTCGTTATGTGTGCATTTGTAGTATGTTAATTTGTTTGTGATTTGGTTGTATATGAGCGCGTGGCCAAGTGGTAAGAACGTTCGAATTCTGACCATGAGACCCGGGTTCGAATATCACCGTAGTCGATTTATCCGGAAGGAGACTTCCTGATGTTATCGGACGGGAGGTGGGGGCTCCTAGTGTCTGAACCCATACCCGAGCCTTGTAAGTGAAACTGGGTAGCCGCCGATGTCTGGGATTGAACGTACTGGCCTTGTTCAAATTGTTGATCACGCTAGATAACACGCTCTTATTTGTAGCTATTTTATGGGGTTGTTAACTGCTTTTTTTTTTTTGATCATTGATTGCTTAATTATTTCCCAGAAACTGTAACTAAGGTCTGCTCAGCATAGTTGCAGTATAAACCACAGGTGGGCTCTGTGGGTGTTGAATAAATACAAAATGCGCCTGAGCAAGCTTCTGCAATGGGGATTGGCTAGCCGCCCTGGTAGACGGGTATCCCCGAATACGAGTGGCCAACTATACATACATAGTTAATTAGTTTATTTATTTATGTTTTTGGTTATTTAATTTTTCGTCTGTTGATTATCTCATTTAATTTAAAGTGTTGGATTTTCTAATATATTTCCTATTATCTGCTGTTATGGAGTGGTTTCACAGTGGAGGCTTGTATTTGTACTAAGTCGTTCCTAAAATAGGTTCGATGTACAAAACGTTAGGAACTTGATATAATAGGTAATGACGCAGAGAGATCTAGTTGTGGTCGCTGATACTTTAGTATCCGACTAACGGTCGTCCGACATCGACTGACTGACCAAATCACTGAGCGACTTCGCGACAGACTTGTTACTCTTACTACTCCTACTTATTATAGGTGGGAGAGTCTATTCACTATAGAATAGGTGTGTTCCACTATAACATCTGCACTGTAGAAAATGTATAAATTTACATTTTTCATGGCAGTATTTTACAAAGTATCCCTTTTTAGTTATCGATTTTTGAGTGAGGTACTAAAAATTTGCTTTCCTGTCTGCATCCTGGTTGTTAGTAAGTTGTCTGGTTTAGTTTACATTGTTTTACAGTATATCAACCTTGGTTATGTAACGCCGACAAGATTTTATTGCTGGTAATATTTCCTTCAAAACTTTATTGCTGGTAATAAGTTTTTACAAAAAAGTATTGCTGTTATTAAAACCTATTTTTACACTTTCATAGTGTTTTGACCCCAGTTTGTATGTCAAATATTTGGTAATATTTTTTTCAAAAATGTATTTCTGGCAATGATTTTCTTTCTTCAAAAATTCATTGCTGGTAATAAGTTTTTCCAAAAATGTATTGCTGGTATTAAAACCTATTTTACACTTTCATAGTATTTTGACCCCAGTTCGAGGGTCAACTATTTGCCCATAGCTGGGACCCTAACAGGGTGAAGCTGGGAACACCAGCAATTAAGAGGTGGTTCCACTCTCCTTAAAAACTACTGACCAGAGGCCTTGCTGTTGGACGTAGTCTATCGTCTTACCCAGAACGCGGATGCAGTTCATCATCTTATCCAGGACGCGGACGTAGTTTATCGCCTTACCCAGGACGCGGATCTAGTTCATCATTTTACCCAGGACGTGGAAGCAGTTCATCGTTTTACCCAGGATGCGGTTGTAGTTCATCATCTTACCCAGGACGCGGATATAGTTCATCGTTTTTACCCAGGACGCGGATGCAGTTCATCGTCGTACCCAGGATACGGATGAAGTTCATCATCTTACCCATACGCGGGTGTAGTTCATCATCTTACTCAGAACGCGGATATAGTTCATCGTCTTACCCAGTACGCGGATATAGTTCATCGTCTTACCCAGGACGCGGATATAGTTCATCGTCGTATCCAGGACACGGATGTAGTTAATCATCTTACCCAGGACACAGATGCAGTTCATCATCTTACCCAGGACGCGGATGCAGTTCATCATCTTATCCAGGACGCGGATGCATTTCATCGTCTTACCCAAGACGACCAGTAATTTGTGTTGGTTTGGGAGGGTGGTTATAGCTATTCTCTCCTCCAGACAGAGTTTGCAGTTCTGGGATTAATTATTATAGGCTGATGGTGTTTTACTCATATTCTATGACAGTCTTGGTGTGGCATCCATATAAAAGTCTCGAATGGACGGGAATATTTTAAAACATGGCATGAGTTTTCAGGTTAATAGTTTGGTTTTGTGGCAATTTGCGGTATTGGGCAAACTATCTTTAGCGTAGCGTATTCTATGTTCAATGTCCTTTTCTCCTCTACTAATCTTGTCATAACTGATCCATACGCCGAGGAATTTGAAGTATTTAGTATTTACTAATTCCACATTTTTATGATGGATTCTGGGGACATGTCATCACTGCCTTCAAATAAATGTTCTTATACGAACTATGTATGCCTACGTCATCAGCATAACTCTCCTCGTCATATTTAATTTGTACTATGCAGCGTTGGGTGAAACTACATCTAATGTAGCCTATTCTATATTCAGTTTCCTTTTCTTCTATACTAATCCATACGCCGAGGAATTTGAAGTGTTTAGTATTTACTAATTCCACATCCTATATTTTTATGATGGATACTGGGCACATGTCTTCACTGCCTTTATTTAAATGTCTGATGATAGTTTCTGTTTTGAAAGATTTATCTTAAATCCTCTTTCTTGGAACACCCGTTAAATTATGTTGATTTTCAGTTTAAGATCGTTCTTATACCAACTATGTATATCTATGTCATCAGCATAGCTCTCCTCATCATGTTTAGGTTGTGCTATGCGACGTTGGGTGAAACTATATCTAATGTAGCCTATTCTATGTTCAATTTCCTTATCTTCTATAACAAACTTGTTATAATTGATCTCTACACCAAGGTATTTGAAACGTTTAGTATTTACTAATTCCAAATCCTGAATTTTAATGTCCTGAAGACTCTCGACCTGCACAAAGAAATTTTCAAAAAAGAAATCAAGGTGAGAGAAGGAAATATTATATTTCAAACTAATCACAACACATTCCATTGCATCTAGACATACGGTTCTGTTGTTAATATTTCGGTCACTCACGTGGTATGACGTCATAGAACCACATCGTGAATTAACGACCTGCGTCTGCCATTCTGCGACCGTTATAGTGACATAGCAATCTTCTATGTCAACATAACAGAATATCATCTTTGATGATGTCTATCTTTGTTTCAATTTCCTATAACCACTCTGAAGATGGCTAATGTGAGCCGAAACCTTAGATCATGGATCAGCGTAAAAAATATCCAAATGTTTGACGATTTTTGTCCTTTTTTTCTCCCGAAATTAAAGCAACTATACGAAGCTTCGAGCGGCTAGTGATCAAACAGAATAGGCATTCGTTGTCTGTCATATTTAACAATATATTATTTACATTATTCGGACTATTGTCCTCATGTTTGTCGCCATATTTATTACAACGTTTTGGCCTTCTTCAGGTGGCTGAAGAAGGCCGGAGCGTACAA